TAATACATTTTTAGTTTCAACAGTTATTATTATTATTATTATGTGTATGTCAATAAAAATGGGTCATCTTTCATAGTAGGCTATTTATGAAATGACAATGATGACACAATGGTTGTGTTTCGGAAAACTGTTTTTTTTACTGTGTTCATGAACGCAACATAACTCTTAACTCCTTCTGCAGCTGATGCACAGAGGGACAGGAGCCTGTTTTAAAGGTTAAAAAAAGAAACAGAAAATAAAGCTTTGTGGACAAATTGACAGCTCCGTCAGCAGAAGGAGGCTGCCTTCAAAGAGGGACACAGAGACAGATACAGACGTGCAAAGTATGGATTTAGCAGGGAGGTGTCGAAGGCTAGATCCAGGTACAATACACGTCTGGAGCTTCAGTTCTCTGCAAACAACTCACTGTATGGAGGGGGCTGAAAGAGATCACCAACTACAGGCCCAGAGCAACTCACACTACAGACAATCTTAAACTTGCTAATGACCTGAATGACTTCTATTCACACTTGGAAGTCATGGACACCCAACCCCACCCAAACCCTCGCACCTTCAGCCACTTTGTATCACACCCATCCCCTCTCTGCTCTCTCACAGGATGTGAACAGGCTGTTCAAGAGACTGAATCCACATGAGGCTGCAGGTGTGTCTCCCTCCACCCTGAGACACTGTGCTGATGAGCTTCAGAGGTATCTTCAACTCTTCTCTGGAGTCACGTCACGTCCCCGCCTGTTTCAAGTCCTCCACCATCGTCCCTGTTCCCAAGAAGCCACACGTCACAGGACTCACTTGACTACAGGCCTGTGGCTCTCACGTCTGTAGTCATGAAAACCTTTGAACGTTTGGTTTTATCCCACCTCAAGTCCATCTGCAAGCCCCTTCTGGACCCTCAGCAATTTGCCTAGAGCCAACAGGTCTGTAGATGACACCATGAACCTGGCTCCCCACATCATCCTGCAGCATCTGGATTCACCAGGAACCTACGCTAGGATCCTGTGTGTGGACTTCAGCTCTGCATTCAACACCATCCTTCCTGCTCTGCTCCAGGACAAGCTCTCTTTGCTTAACGTGTCTGACTCCACCTGTAGGTGGATCACAGATTTCCTGACAGACCACTCACCTCAGGCAGAAGGTTTCGGTCCATCCGGACCAGAACATCCCACCATAAGAACAGTTTCTTCCCCTCTGCTGTCAGACTCTTGAACATTTAGAAGACGTGACTCTAAAACTCTGCCTTGTCCACTTTATCACTGGTTTCTTAAAGGGATCCATGATTAGTTGTAACTTTAGATTTTATTTGATAAACATGTATTTTAGCTGTAAAATAAAGACACTAAAAATACAGTAGGTGAGTTTTGTAAATTAAAAAAAATATATTTTAACACGGACGGGGCCATTTTATTTACACACAAAGCATTCTGGGTAAATGATGACATCAACTAGGTCATCGGTGCGAGGCTGCTAGCGAGCTATATCCACCCTGAAGGTTAATCTTGGACAATATCTGATGATC